CATTTCCCTGTAATTTTAAAACAGTACATTGTAGGCCTATGTTATCATTATCAATAGAAAGTGAATTCATTAATGCATTATCAACAAAAAACTTTTACAATTTGCGACCCCTGAATGAAAAGTTATTGAGACTTTAGTGATGGCATGGTATGGATGGCAGTATAAATCAAAGAGTAATTATTCAATTTCTTTGCATCACAGCAAGCTATTGCAATCGATATTCACAGGCAACTGAAAGCTTTTTTTGGTAAACAACACTTGATGAAAGTTCAGTAAGAAGGTGGGTTAGAGAATTTAAAGGAGGAAGAACAAATATACTTGATGGTGATAGACAGGGATACTCAAGAACAGCCAGTAACAATGAAAATAAGGAGAGAGTTGCTCTAATCAGAGATAATAGGAGAATAAGTCAGGCTGAGATATCTCAAACACTGAACATAGGTCATGCTGCTATTGAAGATTTGATTTCCAGACAATTATCTGTTCTGGAAATTAAAGGACCATCTTCGGGGCAAAATATAGGAGAATGATGAGGAATTGCAAAGTGCAGTAAGGGCATTTTTCAGGTTTAAACCACCATTATACATCGCCAAAGGAATTGATATGCTTCCCGCCAGCTGGCAAACATGCATTGACAATAATGGGCAATTTGAAGCTATATAGAGATATCTAAGACATTAGTTAATAAGTATGACTAAACATATCATGTAATTTATTTTTTTAGCTGTAAGACACAAATGGGTAAAACTTTCAGGGTGAACCTAATAGATATTGACTGAAATGAATATTTGCTTAATTCAAGACCATTTATGGTTTTTTTTCAAATTGTATTTCATCTACAACATGTTTAAAAACTTGTTTTTCTTTGTTTTATTTCTACTCAAAAAGATATAGTTATTATAATATTTTTATACATGGAATATTCTGATTACCATATTTTCATATGATCCAATTAGAAGAAGGGTCATTCCATATTTCTTAGATTTTGTTGATAGTTCGGTTTTCTAACCATCAGCTACTTGTTTAAACTAGCTTGTTTAGAACTAGAAGATCACTCAATACTCAATACATATTCTTTGGACAAAATACTGGTGTTTTGTTGGTCAATTTCTACAAAGTTAAATTTGTTAAGACTAATTATGGATGAAGTTGAAAGGTTCTATTTGGACCAGTGCTTTGGTAAGTTGGTAAATGATTGAAAAGGATGATTGCAGTTGTGACGAACTAGAAATTCAATAAATGGAATTCTTTATAATATTGGAAGAAAAATTTTACTTGTGTCATTTATTGTTTAAGAATTAAATTATCAATACTGCATATAAATGTTAAGTTATTCAATATTAGGAAAACTAGTTAAAAAAAAGACAAGGAGAGAGTAAACATCTTCTTTTATTATATTTCTCTTTGTTAGGTTTCTCATCAATAAATAAATATTAACAATAAATTATTTTTATTGAATATTTAAATAATTTATTTCAATTAACAACAATATGTAACATACAGCAAAGGTAATTTTCAAATGTGATAACAGCTTCTATTAATAAGCAGAACTGTAATATTACAGTTGACTTGATATATAGATATTGTTTCAAATGGTTATTGGTTTAATCTAAGACCATTTATGCTTCCATTTCAAATTTTAGATGTTTTTTTACTAATAAAAAAGTATTTCATATAAGGTAAATTATCTACTGGGTCAGGGAAAAATCATCCCCATTTTGGATTAAATCATCTTCTCTTTGAGAAAACTTGTGTCTGTTTTGGAAAAGTCACTGTTTTAATGTCAAATGTACCTCTTAAAACCTAGGCAAGAAATGGCACAACACTGGCCAAGCATAGGTCTGATTAGCCAGCTTGAAGGCTCATCTTTAATTGCCAGTTGAGGTTTGGCCAAGTTATAATTCAATTAACCTTCCTAAATGTTGAATCTTTTAACATCCTCTTACTAAACATAAATATGAACCACACATTTCGGCAACTGTAAAGTGATGATTGGATATCAGAGGCAAACCTCAAAGTATACAAATCATCACTATTTTCATTCTAAGCATTCCTATCTGGACTCAACAACCTGGGAAGATAACCTGGAAACAACCGCCACTGGAACTATCTACTCCTCAACATTGGAAGACAGTTTGTTAATTTTGCAACCAACTCTTATGAACTATGTACTCTGCTATTGAACTCTCATATTGTTACTTGCTTAAGTATTATTATTGCGAATAAACTGTTTTAATTTAAACATTTGTTTAAAGGTTCAAGAAGAATCAGTATTGTTATAACTTGCAAAAGTTCTTGCCAAGCAAGAGCAGTACAACATATTCTATGGACAAAATGCTCATATTTTGTTGATACTAAACAATACTATTTATCTCTTTCAGTGCCACCTACACAGTACAATACTGGTTCAATACTACTTATCTATTGTAGAATATAGCTGACGAATGTATGTGTACAGTAATCAATAATTATTGATATTTTCTTTTATTTAAATCTTCTATTTGACAAAATTCCAATATCATATTGTTTAACATTAACTTGTTGTCATTATATGATAATTAAATGTTGCAAAGATGGAAATTCCCAATAATTTTCTTTCAAAAGCAAAAAGAGAAATGAAAAGGAAAATTAATTAATTAATATTCAATTTTAAATTACTTAAACATTTACATACATAAAAATTCTCTTTTATGTTGTACTGTTACTGGATCAATTTGTGTGTGCAAGTTACAACAGTACTGGTTCTACTCTAACTTTTAAAAAAATGTTTATTTAGAATAGAAACATTGATGGCAAAGAGATTTATAAATGATAAATTGCTGAACATTTTTCCAAAATCTCACCAGCACAAATATTTCAAATTCATCCCAAATTTTTTTCTCCATGTTGGCATAGATTTTTTTAGTATAGTAGAAACCTTTTTTTCTGACAGTACCTGTTGATAAACATCAATTAGATCACTTTCTCTCTTTAATCTATCTACAGTGCAATAAAATGAAGAATGCACAAAATGTATTTATAAAAAAAAGTTAAATGCAAAGTCAAAATATTAAAATAAAAAAAAAATTGAAGGATAACTAAAGTAAAGTTAAAAGGAAACATATATGTGCACTTGGATATAATGATATATCAATATTTAGACTCTAGATATAAAGCTACATTAGAAAGACTGCTATTTCATTGGAATTAGAATGGTGGAACTTTAGAAAGACTTTTATTTTGTACAGTTAGCTTTTAGTACTTTAGAAAGAACTCTATTTCATAGGAAATAGGCTCTTTGACTGTAACAGATGATGGCTACTTGGCAATTAACAAAGGCACAAAGAACATCGAAAAGATGCATGTCAAAGTTTTTACATCTTATGCAATGACATATGCTGAAGATGCAGGCTTAGTTTGCAGTAGCACATGTTAGCCATATGGGCCTAATCTGAAGATTATATTTGATATATGTGACACAACAGTCTTTCATATTTTTGCTACTTGAGAATTATGAGACTGTCAGATTTCAACTTTGTTATCTAAGGCGAATACTGTTTAGAAGAAGCAGAAATTCCTACAATTACAATACAACAAAGTATAGTAAGCTTAGTGTTTTTGTCCCTTTTCTTTTCAAAAGCATTGACTAGAAAATTTTTTTCAAACCTAGCAACAAATATCTGCAATTCAACAAATGAAAGGTAAGTGAAATAATAAATATGTAAAATATGGATACGACAGAAAATGTTCACAAATCAGTGCTTTTGCCCTAACACTAACCCAGCCCTTAGCTGTACCTAACCTTTTCCATTACCGCTAACCCTTAAAGGAGACCATTCTAAGTACAAATCAGTTGCTCTCTTCTTCTTACTAACCATTTCTCAATCAAAAATCTTGTCTTGAAATTTATCATTTGTGGACTTTTTAAAATATACTAAAAAATTGAAAATTTTGTGTGGAGCACACAACAAATTCTTCATATTCAGAGTTTGCATCTATATCCAGTGTAGTGTTACTATTATCCAGGGTTGTGCTGTCCATTTGTTGTGTAAAAATTCAACATAAGCAGAAAGACTTTCTGAACCTTTATGAATAAATGGAGATATTAAGTTTATTCTGTATTAGTGAAGTTGTTCTTAAAAATGACTTTATAGAATGGCTGTAGGCTAATCTTCATTTAGTCCAAAATACTCAAAATTTATATTTTTTAAAGAGGCTAGTGATTGAAACACTGGTAAAAAGGTTGTATTTTCCCTTTTTTTAAATACATTTCCTGATTGCTCTTTTAAATGCTCACAACATCATTTTTTTTATTAATTGTAGTTTTGGTGTGGTTTTGAGAATTTTTGTCCTATCCTGTATATTCAAAATCAGAGCAATTAAATCTTATCTGTAATAAATCAAACTTTTATACCAAATCATCAATATGGGAAATACTGCGTGTTGCAAAAAGAGGCTAAGTGTTTTATATGTTATTGTTTAATAGTTTTATTGCACCAAGGTTATGTGTTTACTGCTATTGTAATTGATAAAATATATTTATCTGACAACAGGAAGTATATTTAATGTTAAAATTACTGTTAGATTGTATTTAGAAAAATAAATTTTCTAAAAATACTTTTAGATTTTAGTTTTTTTTCTTTGGATAAAACATTCTAAACTGGAAAAATACTATATACATTTCAGTGTAACAAGCTATGACATAAAGACAGAGAGAGAAAGCGATATGTGTTCATTAACTTTTACAGTGTCCATAATAACTTTTAAACTTTTATAATAATTCACTGGATGAATTTGTCACAAATGTATTCTGAAATCAAACTTTTCCAATATTAAATATATTGGTTACAAAACTTCAGTTATATTTTTAAAAAACAGAATCTCTCTATAATATAAACATTTTATGTTTTTACAATATTTTTATTGCATTCCAGATTTATCATAAACTTAAATGAATAAGATAACATTAATTCAGCCTATACATAGTAATTTATTGAGGTTCTTTGTCCTATAGTGTTTTCATTACACAGTCTGAAATAAGAGAAGCAAGATGAAGGCAATTTTAACAGGAATTTTCACATTAAATTTACTTTCTCAGGTCAGTAAGGTAAAATGTATCTTCAACAGTAAGGTTATTAAAATAATGTAGATGCAATATTGCTAAAAAATAAATGTTTATTAGAAACCATCCATTTTGAGGAAGATTTTTCTCTTTTTTTATATTTTTACAACAGATTGGAGTTAATTGTTCAGATGAAACAAAATTGTCGGGAGAACAAAGTTTTACAAACAATGTATTATTTCATCTTAGAGGATACATAAATGAAGCATATAATATGCCATGTAAAGACAACTCAATAACCATAAAATCAGATAGTTTCACTAATAGCTATGGATATTCTCGTCTACTATTTCGTTTTCTTCCTGATTGTAAACTGGTAAATAATATATACAGTACAGATATCTAATCAGTATGATATTTTTGATAAAAAGCAGAATGAATATAGCTTGTCTATGTTGAACTATCAGTTGTAAAATATGGCCTATAAATTGGCCCATTATCAAAAATACACTAATTCTCCAATTAGATTGGATACTATCTTTTTGTTTTTTTTTTCCCAAAAAAAATTAGGACATTTTCGTAAAGTTTAAGTTCTTTCATGTAAACTATTCAAAAAACTGCATAAAGGATTTTCTATCATTAAGACAACATTCGAAAACTGCAAAATTCTGTGGAGAGTCATTTATAATGAATTCATTAGGTAAGAATTTTTTTTCTCATTTAGGAATTGTAATTATTTCATTATTAATGTTTTTTTTTAGGTTCAAACACTTCAACAGAATTTTTTCAAAGAAAAATTTATTCTATAAAACACTTTTATCAAATTCCATTTTCAATTGAAAATCAATTCACATATCAAACTGATGGATTATCAAACAATAGAGGATTTATTATTGAAATAAAAACAAAGTTACCAAAACCAATTATGATGATAAAAAAGAGAAAAAGTGATGTGTTACATTCATTGCATACCATTGAATTAAAAGATTATGAGAATAAAGTTTATAAATTATCATGTGAGAGCGAAAGTATAATTATTAAATCTCTTGAGCCTTATCAAAGTATAGAAAATACCAGTTTAATATTAAGACATTCTCCAAGATGTAAAATGGTAAGAAATTGAAGTTTTCTCTTCACTTTGTTAATTATTGATTAAGTGATATTTTTCCCTTCATATTCAGTATTTTTTTGTGAGATTTATTGAGTTTGATGTGGAGTATTCACCAAATTGTCAAAAAGATTATCTTTTAATGACACAGAACTCAAATTCTGCTAAATTATGTGGAAATGAATCATCTATTTTCAATTCAAATGGTCTGTTACAAAACAAAGAAATATATCTTTTGAATTTTTGACTTTTTCTCTTATTTTTATTAGGTTCCTCTAAATTTGAAGGATTTTTCAATCGTTGGTACTACTCAATGCAGGGTGTCTATATAGAACCAATAGTTAATGATATAAGAATTGTATTCAAAACTGATGGATCATCTCAAAGGAATGGATTTTCTATAGAAATAGAAACATCTTTTACTGAAGAAATATTTGGCCATCCATCTTACTGTGATTTTCTATAATTGTTTTTGGTTGACTTTTAACAAAATCTTGATCTGCTTAAAATAAATTTCAATTGTCAAAAGATATTTTAAAAAATTAGGTGCTACTTTTCAATCATAAAGTACATAAAGAGTTAGTGGCACAGTGTAGAATGTGAGATTAATAATTGAAGTTTGATATGAGCCTATGTAACACATTCGTCAGGATTGAACTAACTCTGTTATTTATTAAGATGCAGATTTGAAATTCCGTACATAGACTAATACTCAACCTTTAGTTACACCAAGCCTGTCAATAATCAGTCAGGTCTGAGGTCTTTCTTCTCTATTGATTAAGGAGGAATATAATAATGCATATTCAGTTAAATTAATATTCATTAATAAAACAAAGAATGTTTAAAAATAGACTTCTGTCTACTATTTAATTCTTTATGAATCTGAAAATATACCTTAGTATGAAAGTAGTAAATTGGCCAAAAGTTAAGGCAATATCAATAGAAAAAACAGAATGTTAGATAAAATCAATACACTCTCAGATAAATCCATATCTTTATGCCTAGTATACTTAAGATATATAGGTATCATAGTTCCATTTATCAATTTTGTCAGAAAAAGCAATATATGCAATCAATACTTTTAATATCCTAAGTAAAATTTGTAGATAATTATTGATTGAAGACAGGCAAATACCATAAATATTAGCAATTTTTTGCTGTTAAAATGGAAAATAGCAGACCAGAAGAAAAAGAAATATATAAATATATATATATACGAACATTTATGTCAGGTATAACTAACCCTTTAAAATTATAACCATTTTCTGGTTGTTGTTGAAAACGCCCACAGTTTTTCAGTTTTACCCTAACCCAGCCCTGGACCCTGATTTTAGGGCTTTATTGTTCCTAACCCTTACTTACTGAATGCATGTATAAATTCTAAAAATATACTCACTTTGAGTTCAAGTCTTCAATACATCCTTCCTTAATATATATCTCTGGAAACTTTTTCACAGCTTCTTTAAAAGTGTTATCTTTGTTTTTTCCAAATGGATCTTGTTTTGCTCAATAAAAATCCAAAGCAAGCAAAAAATATTGATAGTTGAGGGTAATAAATATAAAATATTGATTATGATAAGGATTAAAAAGCCAAGTAAAAAACAATTTTCCATTTTCTTCTCTCATGTGCAAGATCCTGAAAAGCTATGGCACTTTTTTGTGACTTTATGCCACATATGTTTTTTACTTTCCCTTTGTTAATATATCTACCAAAAGTAATTCCCCTTTTTACATTAGCATATATGAAAATGATCAGAAAACAATGCTCTTTCCATTAATATTCTTTATTAAAATGTATGTATGAATTCGTAAAAAATCAATATTTGGTGGATAGACATTTTATCATAAATATTACAAAAATCTTTAAGTGAATGTTAGGTTTTATATATTTGAATTAGACTTGAGATCTAAGTTCTAATGGAAGTTGAATAACTACAGCCTAATAATCAAGAGATCCCACATGTGTATAAGATGCAAGAGGTGTTTTTTTAAGAACTTAATGTATAGATATTTGAATGTCTACCAAGTATGTCCACCTATCATTGTGATGTGAATTGATATTCTAACTATGTGAATAATACTATATTAGAGGCGTTACCAAGTGTTACAGACTTGAATAGGAATATTCGGATAAACTGAGTTGAACTACAGATGAAGTTTGCTCAGTAGTTTTAAAACAAGCTAACAAAATAAAGCAAAACTTTGGGCTGGAGGTGCCAAAAACATCCACCCAGAGGGTCTAAATGTATATAGAAGGGACCAAGACATTTCGGTCCTGGAAATTTCGACCAACTTTGAGACATTTTCTCCCATTTTATGGCATTTAGACCCAAAATAAAATGGTCCATTTTTAGCAAGACAATCAGAATTAACAATGAGCTAGAGGGTTTTCGTTAGAGATTGTGCCAACTTATTATTATATTTAATTGTTAATGAGTTAAGTAGAGATGCTGAGAAATTTTTAGAAATACATTACAGTTTAGTGAAATTGAAATATGCATGGAGGATTCATTTGAAAGTATAGCTGAGGAGAACTATGACAGAAATGGTAAATTCACAATATTCCCTACTGGAAGTCAAAAAGGCAAAGAATTACTTTTATCTAATGGTCACTCCATAATTTGGAGATGTGGAATTAAAAGTAAGAAAATGAAATATCCTGCCAGTGTCATTCAAAGAAATAATGATTTCTCTTTGGGGTCTAAATATCGGATTAGGTTAAGAAAGGCTGCAATTGATAAAGGCTGCAGGTTGATTGAAAAAGGCTGCAAGCTGATTAAAAAAGGCTTCAGGCTTACCAAATATGCTGAATTTCAAATAGATTTCATAATGTTTCTACCAGTTTTTTCTATTTAAATAGCATGTTTTACACTGTACTATAACAACAAGTGTGGTCACATATATGTAAACAGTTTGAATTATTTTTATTATATGTTATATTATTTATCACATGAAGAGAGTAAAGACTTCAACATAAATGCAATGTATTTATTGTACATCATTTTTGCCAGATATACTCTCTAACCTGTGAAGCAAATCATTTTCTTCAGAAGATAATTTCAATATGGCATCTCTCTGTTATGCTTGTAAGAAGAAAATTAATAAACAAAAAAGAGGTGTATGCTCTCTATGTAAGCATACAACTCATTGGGTTTGTTTAAATGGTAAGTTAAATGTTCATATTTTTCAATTTGACACCATTTTTCTTAATATATAGATGGCTTTTGTGAAATTTGCCTGAAAATCAACAACTATTCATTACAAATTGTTTTAAGAAGATGTGATGAAAATACTTTAACAGAAGTAAGATTGATCATCAAGAAATTTTTAGAAATAATCAAGTGGAAGCCACTGCTGATGACATTAATGATCATTTGATTGCAAATAATGAAAAAGACAAATCTGCCAATGATGGTGAAAGTATTAAGCAAATAGAAGGACCAATAGATAATGTAGTCATTAAAAATACACAAATACCACAAAGAGAAGTTTTTGCTGAAGATGTTACAATGGAGCATTTGAATATAAAAGAGGATTATTTTCCTTTTGATCACAACATAAACCAACCTGAAGACAGCTCATTTGAAGATGTAGATGATGTTGTTCTAAGGAGTGATGGATCATTTAAAATTTTCCAAAATGGGAGTCAAAAAGGAAAGCCATTACTTGTTCATGATGGATTCTTATATACTATCAAAAACCAAAGAAATAAATCAAGAATTTGGAGATGTAGTGGCAATAATAGCAAACAAGATCGATGTCCTGGTAGTGTCAATGAGAATGATGGTAATTTTACTTTGGGTTCAAAATCACACAATCATTCTCCCAAATTAAATTTAAAAGAAATTATTGATATGAAAGTTACCATAAAACAAAGATCAGAAATGGACACTCAAACAAGTGCCAAGAGAATTGTTGAAGATACATTTATCCAAAAACAAAACATTTCTAATTTTCCCAGTATGAGTAGCTGTAAACAAGTGGTGAGAAAATTAAAAAGATATCAGAAGAAAATTTATGTAAACCTACAAAGAAAAATATTTGAGACTTGGGATAAATTTAAGAATGGCCAAATTACTGCACTACAAATTATAGAAAATTGTTCTAAAGTCTATTTTCATAGTTGAATTAAATATATAATCAAATGTTTTTATTCTTTTCAATAAACCATATAATATTCATTAAACTACTTTCCATTTCCAATCTTTATAAAAATTCACTTGCAGCCTTTTTCAATTGCAGCCTTTTTCAACCAGTCCCCTAAATATCATATGTTCACCTTCCAAAAAAAAATTTAGAACAAATTATTGAAGTGAAAGCGACAGCAAACCAAAAAGGAAAGACAGACAGCAATGTTTTGCAAATATGGGAAATATTGGGCCGGTTTCGTTTACTCAATACATTTTGTTTGGAACAAAAATATCGGTGTTTCAGATAGATAGAGGGCGCTGGCTTATCTTATATGAAATAGATTAGCCTGAACTATCTTTTGTTAAACTTTTATAGAGTTTTTGAGTAGGTTTAACATCTTCTTTTCTCATAAGAATACGAAGGAAAAGAAGGATCAACTTTTACATCAATATTCTCAATTCTGTTAGCTCTATCATACTAATCATTTGGGGTCGGGTGTGAACGTACCTGGGTGCGAACGTACCCGGGTGCGAACGTACCCTGGGCGGGTGCGAACGTACCCAGGTACGTTCGCACCCTATTTTTATATTTATTTTATTTTTGAATTTTTGAATAAACATGTACATTGACACCCTTTTTTCCTTCTGTTCCTTCATTATATATTTGTTAATATATTGATTTGATAGAATGCAGATATTAAATAGAATACATATCCCATCAATATTAAATTACTACTTTAAAAGAAAATGTTGTTGAAAGTGAAATAGCAGCCATTTTAATAGTGATAGTTTTATTAAATAAACTTTCACTTGGAATATTTATCCTTGCAAAAGTAAAGCTATATTTACTGAATAAATTTGGACAAAGTTCTTCTTGGAAGCTTCAACAGAAGTGAGTATTTATATCTAATCATTGAGATTGTTGATTCATGATATTTTGATGTAATATACTATCTTCAATTGTGAAAAAGCTGAATATTTTTCATAAATAAAATTTCAGCCATTTTGAATATTTGGAAAGGAAATTTATTGATAACTGGAAATATTTTTAGATAACCATCTACATTTGATTGAAGATTAAAAAATGGCTTTCAAATGTCACAATTGTCATTCAACAATTTATGGAAGGCAAAAATATTTGAAATGCAGCCTTTGTAAGAATCTTATTCATAGGAAATGCACAGGTATGTAACTCTTTAATCAGCTTTCATGTAATTATATTTTTTAACATATTCTTATAGAAACACATAACATACCAATTTGCAAACCTTGTAACAAAAGAAAATGTACTGTCATGCTCAAGAAGTTAACTAATCTGGAAATTCATCAATTCAAAGTAAATTCTGAAGAAAGCTTTATTGATGAAAGAAATAAGATTGCTGCAGTTGAGGAATCAATATTGGAGGATGAAAATCATGTTCTTTCAGAATGCCAATCAATGGACCTAGACTCTTTGGAGGAAGTTGAAGAGAATGCTGAAGAATATTGTGAATCATCCACAAAAAGTGATTTTGAGATTGTAAAAGGAGGAAGTAGAAAGGGACATGACATTTTACTGAATGATGGATATTCTTTTGTTGTTAAACATAAAACACCATCAAGTACTATTTGGGTGTGCAGTGTGAGAAGTAAGAAGAAAAGATGTGTGGCCAGAATAAGACAAAATGGAAATTTATTTCTCAAAGGCAATTTGGAACATAATCACAACAGAAA